ACTTCATGATGGGTCAAAGAAAGATGCAGCAAATGACCCTTGGGTCCCTACTTTGCTAGGGCATATTCCCCAAACAACTGTAAATCACACAGTGCTTGTGTCTCATCTTTTAAATAGTGATGGTACTTGGAATGTTGGTGAGCTACAAAGACATTTTTCAAATGAAACCATCTAGCATATATCATCCATTACATCTCAACTGGACTTATCATCTGATTGCTTGCTTTGGAAGCACACAAATAGTGGTGTATTCAATGTTAAATCTGCTTATCAAGTATTCAATGTTAAACACATATCTCTCTTCTCTTATGCAGCACATGTTATACAGGTCATTCAAGAAAGAAACAACATTGGCAACTGGATAATCCAAATGCATATCAGAACTATAATGCACAATATCACAAAATTTGAGGGCTTTCAAGCAAAACATATCGCTAAAGATCAGAATACTCTAGCTCATCTTTTTGCTTACTACTCTAGTAAGTTTGATGTAAATATAATATACAACTTTTTTGGGCTTCATGTACTTTCAAATTATCAATAAATTTTATTTTATTAAAAAAAATAAACTATAAATATCAGGTTTCATTTTTCCTTTTCTTTATTTAATTTGAGTTGCATTATTGTTGGCAGTAGTTGTAAAACTCTAAATACAGTGCACGAATTGAAGTGTCTTTTAAAAGCCAACCCCCATCATTTTGGATTGAATCGTAGAATTGCTGCTCAAGGATGGGAACTATTCATACCCATTACTTAATTCGTAGGGGAAGACTACTCTCATTACTATCCCTTACTCTGTCTTGTATAGTGAGCAACTCTCATGAGGAGACCATCCGCAGAAATCAAATCTCAGTCGACTTTCTCTTCGGAACGAGTACTTCCGCCTATCAGGTGCGTGTCATTCCTGCTCTGCTAATTTTAGTCGTTTACAGATTTTCCTAACTCAGATTTTGATTGTTCTATTGTTTGAATTTCTTGTCAATCGTCCAAATTGCAGACTGAGGGAGCAATTCTTGAAGATGGCAGGGGTCTAAGCAATTGGGATGTGTTTAGCCACATTCCAGGTGAAGATAATCCCGCCCTCCCCTCTCTCTCCATCTCTCTATCTCTGTCTCTGGAGATCTCTAGATTCTAGTAATGGTCTGTTCTTTCTTATTAATGAAACCAAAAAACTGCAGGGAAGATTGAAACAGGGGAAAATGCAGATACGGCAGACGACCATTACCATCTCTACTTGGTAACAGAATTGACTTTAATCCTTCATTTACCTGTTAAATCTTCATCAATGGAATCTGAATTCTGAACTAACAGCCTACCTACCCTTTGCTTTACTTTACTTGGTTTCGCACAGCAAGACATCGACCTGATGCACTCGCTGGGAGTAAATGCTTATCGTTTTTCCATTTCTTGGGCCAGGATTTTACCTCGTAAGCATTAAAAAAGAAAAGAAAAAAAAATTCATATGCACCTTCTTCATAGACAATCTCCTACTGAGAGGTGAGCCAAAGACTTGGAATTCTAACCAAATCTGGACTGATAGACCTCAAGACTAGAATTCTAACAGTATCATAGACAATCTCCTACTGTGTTCCTCTTATCGTCTGTAACAAATTAAGGCTTGTGTCGGCAGGGATCGAACCATTTGTGACCTTGTATCATCACGACCTGCCACAAGAACTGGAAGACAGTTACGGGGGATGGCTGAGCCCTCTAATACAGTAAGCCCATGAACATTTGTTTCTCTCCTATCTGAATCTCGTTTAGATTTTATGAATTAGAAAACACAAATTTCTGGGGAAGTGTGTGTTTGTTTCTCACTGTCACAAATCTTGTGATGAAATCGTGAAGAGAGTGAGCTTGACTGGAAATAGAAAATGGGATTTTGATTTTGTTGGTGCTTATTGTTGCAGGGAAGATTTTGGGTATTTTGCAGAAATCTATTTCAAGAAGTTCGGAGATCGGGTGAAGTACTGGAATAGCTTGAATGAGCCCAACTTGTATGCTCATTTAGCTTATCTGAGGGGAATGTACGCACCAGGTCGTCGTTCGGAGATGGAGCCTTTTACTGTGCTTCACAACATGTTGTTGTCCCACGGCAGGGCCGCTTATTTGTACCGGTCGTGTTAATCAATTAATAAATAATCTTTTTATTATTTATATTTTTTATTATTAATTATTAAATATTGATATTTCAATGAAATAATTTTATAATTAAATAATTTTGATAAATATCTAATTAATGATTAATTAAAAAAATAAGAATTAATATTTTAGAATTTATTTCATTAGTATTTAATATGAATTAATTAAGAGATTTACTTTTATTATTAATTGTTTTTAATTATTTAACATTTTTATAATTTAATTATTTTTGTTGAATCAATAATTAGATTAATAATAAAAACCTTATTTATTTATTCATTAATCATTCACTATCTTTTGTTAATAATACTTATTTATTATTTAGTATTTTATTATTCATTAGATATTAATTATTTAAAATGCATAATTAGTTAATTAGTTAAACATTTTACATTTTATTAGTTTATAATTTATTATTAATATTATATTTTATTAATACGCATGACTTAATTACTAATTGAATATTAATTATTCATAAATTATTAAATTAATTTTCATTAATAAATTATTTTTTATTTATTTTAATTAAATTATTAATTATTTAATTATCAACTAATTAGTAAATTAATCAATTCTTAAATGTTCTTAATTAATTAATAATATTTTTTGTGATTAAATATTTTATTGTTAATTATTAATTTGACTTATTATTTCATATTCTTTTATTAATATTTTATTTAAGTTATTTATTAATTTTTTTAAATTATTTTATTAATATATTTTTAAATAATAAATAATTTATTTATGGTTCATGAATCTAGTATTAAATCTTATAAATAGTACTGCAGGTGTTTTTTCTTTGTAAAACAAATCTACCCCTACATTCCCACTTGTTTCCCACCCAAATGGTGGGATTGCACATCCCAAGAATTGGGATCTATAATCCCACTTTTCCCCATCCCATCTCCTCTCCTGACATCCCACAATATTTCATATTTTTCCTTCCCATCTAACAAACCAAACATAGCCCAAGAGAGTGTTCTCTTGAATACGATGAAATTGGGTTATGAACTCATGGTCAACTCAATTTCAAACTATCCTAATGAGGGAACTGGGTAAACACAATACCTAATACGTGTGTGTGCGTGTGTGTGTGCTTCTTTTTTTTGGAATGTTCACATCTTTCACATGTTGGGTATAGTTTATACATAGGGGTGGACTTGAGATAAGCCAAATTGAATACCCAGTTATTTGAGCTTGGCTCACCAAAACAAGGTCGGGCTCAAGCTCAATTTGAAAGACTTAAGCTCGAGTTCGGCTTATCTCAAAAGCTCACAAGTTTAAACTTGGCTTGGCTTTAGCTAAGCTTTCTATAAAATATAAAAATTATACATATAAAAATAATTTTTTTATTTTACATACAAAAATTAAGAATTATAAAAATTATTTATTGTCATACATATAAAAAATAAAACTATTATATATAATATTTATTATTATACATATACAAAATAAAAAATATACATATTAAAAATTGTTTTTATTTTACATACAAAAAATAAGACATAAAAATTATACCGAGATGAGTTTAAATATCTCATGAAAAGCTCGATTCATTTCTACTTATACATATAGATCAACCCCCCCTCCCCCCATTCGAAGTGAACAATATGAAGGGGTAAAATTAGGATTATGTAAAAAAGTTAATGTGCATGTAGAAGGGTCCAAAACGGTTTATAAACAAAAGGCTAGGGCTGTCAATGGGTCAATTCTACTTGATAGTTCTGAACAGACCAAACTGATTATATCAATTCTTGCTGTATGATTTTGTCCCGATTAGTAACCGGGTCCGTTCTGGTTCTTGCTTGTTGAAAACCAACTTAGACTCAAACCTATTATTTTGTTAACAATATACGAAAGGTTTCTTAGTTTTTTTGTAATTTTTATTATATTTTATTTTATATATAAAAGTTGAAGTTTAATAGATAATATATAAGATAATTTTGATTAAAAACACTTGATTTATTAATATATATATATAATTTATTATTTTACTGTTATTTCTATTAAGATTATATTACCAAATGCCAAATTTTAAGTTGTTATTTATTTAAAGGGATAATTACTTAAATGTACGCTGTAGTTTCAAAAACTAGTTATATGTGCCATGTAAGATGGCCCCACATAACACAAATAGGGCCATCCGTTAAGAAAATGTATAATACCATTTATACATGGCCATTAACCTTTTGATAATCCCATTTTTACCCCTCATATTTTCTCCTTCCTCTCCTCTTCAAAAAGCCAAATAGATATTCTGTTTCACACATCTAGCTTAATTTTTTGTTTCCTTTATAAAATCCCAGAGAAGATGGAAAAGACCATCATCGTTTTACCCTTTTTACTTGTTTATTCTTCAATTTATATTGTTTCTTTTCCAGATCGAAGGTGTCAGATCTTCGTTACTGCCTACCCAAGAGCATAGAAGATCCTCTGATTACAAAGCACTCGATCTTCAGAAATTCTACTCAATACTTGGGAGTTTTGAGTAGATCAGATGAAGAGAGATTATATGCCAATGAGGTTCCCATTTGCATATAAAGCGACAAAAAACCTATAGTGCTAGCCTAGCCCAACGGAATGGGTCCCTCTCAGTGCTTTCCAAGGCCCGTAATGGAATTTTGATTTCATGAGAGGCACTTCTTCTCCTGGGTGGCCTTTCCAATAAATTTCCTGTTCAACATCATGAGATAGAAATCTTCAAGTTTCCATGACCAAAGTAGTTTTCGAAACCACAATGTTGTATATCAAAGTAGCTTTTAAAACCACATGGTATACTTAAATAGTTGGTCAAACAATAGAGTATATAGAGGTGATTAACCCCTTTTAAATATCTATCTATTGTAGCAAAGAGCTAAAAAGTTGGAAACAGTAGAGTAAGATCCTCAGCCCTAAAGTATATATGCTTTAACTGAATCAAAGAGGTACAATCTTTATTACTAAAAGCAGAGCACCTGGTCTTAAACTCTTAATGAGTAGATTGCTAATCATCATACATTGCCTAATTACCGAGCAGGGTGTTAGATCCCTTGATATATGGAGATTACCCTCCAGAGATGCGTCACCATCTTGGTGCTCGACTGCCCAAGTTCTCAGTGGAGGAGTCCAAGACACTAAACGGCAGTATTGACTTCATCGGCATCAACCACTATTCAAGTTTATATGCCAAAGACTGCATCAACTCTCCTTGTCCTACAGGAGAAAGTCATGCATTCCTAGGTTTTGTTTACACAACCGGTTTTAGGGATGGTGTTGCAATTGGAGAGCCGGTATTAGGCATTTCCTATCCCATCACATCATTCTCTGTTAATTTGTTATTTAATTACTTAGTAATTTATGCTCCTCTTATCTTCTTATCCGGGATGTTTCCTGTTTTTTTTTTTTTTTGGCAGACTCCGATGCCTAGATTCTTCATAGTTCCAGATGGACTGGAGAAAATGGTAGAGTACATTAAAACAAGATACAATAATAAACCCATTTTTGTCACTGAAAATGGTAAGACCGTGATTAAATACAGAGGGGGTGAAGATTTTGTCACTGAAAATTATTCATTATTCTGTGTAGGACTTGCTCAATCAGACCAACCTGCAGGTAAGAGAGAAGATTTACTGAATGACAACAAGCGAATCGAGTTTTTCAAAGGTTACCTTGCTTCTCTTGCTCGAGCAATCAGGTGAGCCCACAGATTCAACCAAAAGACTAAATTAAACACTAGTTTTAAGATATCCAAATGTTGATGGAGATGACAAGTTTATATATTAAACTGCTCTTGACATGTTTTAATTAAGATCCTGTTATCAAGCAAAAAAATCTTCAATTACTACTACGTTCTAGTTGTGGCTTTAAAGGGAGTATTTAATTGTTTCAATGAAACCCATTTTAAGAAAGTGGGAATTTTTTTCTTATGAATTTAAGGAAATTTGCGTTGATGACAGGAATGGGGCTGATGTGCGAGGCTATTTTGTGTGGTCACTGATGGACAACTTTGAATGGACGAGGGGGTTTAGCATGAGATTCGGACTCTATTACGTCGACTACCAAACGCTGGAACGGACTCCAAAGCTATCTGCAAAATGGTACAGGGATTTCCTCACCCCCAACGCTACTGATGAATATGATGATATGCTAGTGAAGCGATCGAGCAACAACTTAAAAGATAGCCAACTGGAGAGATGTTGAAGCAGGTATATGATCCTTCTTGGATTATCATTTTCATCATCACCGGACATGGAAGATTTTAACTGCTTCTAAGCTTCCTCCCCTTCTCTGCTGCTCTCTTGCTAAATTATTGTACATTTGTATTGTACCGACTAAAATGGCAAATAATCTAAGTTCTTTTATGGTTGGTTCGTATATCCTTTATGAACATGGAAGAGAATATGTTACTGTTTTTCTTTATGAATTCCCATGATCAGTTTTAGAGCATCAAATTCCATATCCAGGGTCAGGTTTATCCTCATCGAATCGTGCACTCTTGACTCTTGAAATGTTTACATTCCACAATCTCTTATACTTTCCATTTGGCTGACTTCCATAGCATTCAATTACAATTTCATGCTTGTTTCTAATCTGCATTATTATGATCTCTCGATTACATAATTTTTGGAAAATATAAGCTTCCCCTTTTCCTAGTTTATATTGGGGTAAGGACATACATCTTACAAGCATGAGCAACATAAGCAGTCAATCGGAAACGCATCCTTTTGGACACAAATGAGTGCTGCAAGAGAAATGATAGATGAGTTGTCGCTTCAATGGAGAATAGAGAAAAAGGGAAGGAAAATATGCATCTTACATCCATATAGTGACCATTTTTATTGTAGAGCAGTTCACCTCTCAAGGAAAACAAAAGGACATGACGAAAATATATTAAGATTAAACACACAAGTTTCATACCATCCATAGGTCTCTAACAATAACAGGACTGAAAGGAGAGAATCCAACTTCCCGCCATCCGACTGTAATAGGAGCCCGAGCCCAGCTTCTGTTCCATAATACAACTACAACCCTTCTCCCTGATAATGGTCCTGCCCAAACCTACATACCATGAAGCATCGCGTCAACTAGAGTAAAAGATAGCCAATATAGAAAAATTAACAAAGGGACATTCACAGTACACACACTGCATAAAGAGAATACTGATTTGGTAAATACAACAAATTTTTGTAGTCAAGATGCTTAGATAGCTTTCCTATGCTACCTGATCTATTTGTGTCATGCAATGTTGTCAGACTCAGACCCGATAGAAAACCAGGATGCTCACTGGTCACCGTTTTACCAGTAAACCAACCAATTAGCCCATTTAAACCATGAAGACCATCAATTAACAAGGACTTAGAAAAAGCTACTGAGTCACCAGGTCACCAGTGCCATGTGGATTGATGGTTAGGCTGATCCAAGCAATCCACTATGTAGGGGATCCTCTGGATTGGCCACCTGTTCAACATCCAACCTAAGCAGCTCTCCACCTTACCTTGGTTGTTTAGCCTTCTTCACTAACAACCTGACGACAAAAGGTTTAAAAGGACAAAAGCAGAGGAATGGCACTGGTTGCATCTCGTGCCACAAAGTGCACCAAGGTGTAAAGCTCAAAAGTTATTTGTTTTTTCAAAAATAGTAAAATAGAACTTAGATCTAACAAGTATATCTAAAAAATACTTTCATAGACATTGATGGCATTAAACAAAATAGCAACTCACATTTTACATGTACAAACACTTCCATTTCAGCAAATAATTGTATGGATCTGTTCATTTTCTAAACCCATTTTCTAAACAACTATTGACATTGAATCAGAAGACCCCAAATATCCAGGACCAACATTGGGCAATGTCTCCTTTGATAATCAAACTAACCAGAAAACATTAAAGAGATTGAAACAGGGTATTTTGAACAAAATCAATTTATAGATTAATAAACATCTAGACACCTAAATTAATCAATCAGAAAAAAATTATCAGCACAAAAGCACTCACTGGTCATACGGATTTCAAATCAACAAAGAGCAATCCATTACAAAAGAAAAATAAAATAATTCCATTGAGTAAAGAGGGAGAGTAATTAAGAAATTCATTGGGGGTTTCACTTTCGTAGGTGTTCTATTGCATGAGGTCTAATAGATCATAGCTGCTAATCCAGTAAACAAAGTTAAAAAAAAAAAAAAGAAATCTAGGTTATTTTACAAACAAGCCATGGTGGACTGCGGGAATACAAGGATTAAGCATTTTCTGTACCTCATTTTATATGCCTCACAATTTTTTTTTTGGTAATGTTGCCTCACAAGGTTAAGGTGTAAGCTTTACAAGGCATACACAAGGCTATAATCTTGAGGCAAAATGGCTCCACCTTGCTTCGAAGCATCAACCTTTAAACCATGTTTAGGAGAGTCTTGCATGATGAAATCTCTCACATACATTAGGGAGGAGTAACATTTTCTTCTCAAATTAAGGATAGGGCCACCTAAAACTCAGCATGAAGCCTGGTTTGATCCCAAGTTTATGGATCTCATATGAAAAACTTTTCTTAACCTCCCATGAAACTAGCTATAAGTTTGATCCTCTTCCTAATTCATGAATTCCTCAAACCCTCTAAAAGTATTGGGTTTTGACACGTATGTTTGCCTTCACTTTATAATGGAAAATAACTTCTAAAAGCAACACTTTATCGATAAACCCAAAAAGGATAGAACTCTAATTTATAATTAAAATACCAAGGAAATGGAGAATTCTGTCACACAGTTGGATGTTCAGAAATCAACCATAACTCACTCAATTCATGTCTGAACTGTACAATTATTATTGGTTATAGGATAGCCAATATAATAAAAAGAGAATCAAGACAAATGGAAAGACTTGGACCACTCACATTTGTGTCACAGGTAGGTGAGAAACCTAAAACAGTAATTCCATGCAACTTCAAGTTGGAAACAGACAATTTGCAACAACTAAACCTTTACTTCTGCAAGTATTTTACATTTAGATCATAACCTGTATATATGCATTGTTTAATAGGTAGAAAGGTTTTAAACCCATATCCATGCTATTGTGGAATCAGGATTTACATGCATTAACAACTTAAGAAAGCTGTTATCTCATAAAGTATCATCCAGGGGTGTGGGTGGCAGGATTTTAATTCATGAGGTAACATCCTATAGGGTTTCTAGACTTGCCCATTGGAAATGTCATCACGAGACACAGATTGTAAGTAATTAAATTAATGAAAACAAACAAGAATAAATTTGGATGCATACTCCTAGCCCTGCTTGTGATCTTATCTTCCTCCCTTGAACTCCAAGTGGGTCCTGATTAACATCAATCGCCTCCTTGTTTCCCAGGATCTGGAGAGTCTCTCCGCTAGCGGTTCTGATATCATATCCAATAAGTAAAGGAAACTGTTACAAAAAAGGTTTTCACATCTTGTAAGAATGGTTGGAACAGAAATAGAAAGTCTTATGTCTTACAAATTTACCTTCATAAGAGCCCAAATGCTAAAGTGAGACCTGTACTCCTCTAGACTCATTCCTCCATTTCCCACTTCCAACATGTCACGATCTATCATAGTAGCACCACAAGCTAAGTGGTTGATATTTTTCCTTGGTGCGTAAAATTAAAAAAATGTTTAATCTATAAATTCAAAGATTAAAAATTAACGAACAACAGAACTTGTGTAGTTCCGGTGTTCCAGAATTCACTAAAGCCTAGTTCAACAAAACTAAACAAGCATGGAACTTCAAGTCAACCCATCAATATTAAAAGTTTCCCTTACCATTCCATCTGCCTGGCCCTGCAAATCTTCCCCAAATGTTGTTCCCATCTGCAATTGATGTGATACTGAAAAGATAAAAGCACAGTCAACAAAAGCTACCCATTTAAGCTTGGTTTCTCATGTAGTAAGGAAGTTTGTTGAAATTACAGAAAGAAGGATGAAGACCTGTCCCGCTTGTCTTGAATGTCACCTGTGGTTCTCCAGGCATTACCAAATCTCCCAGCCCACTTTGCTGGATTCTCTTCTCCCCTAAAAATAATTTTGTGTCTTTATTTAGGCATTATGAAATTGTATTGAACTATTGTAATGGATTTTGTTACTCATAATTGTAGTTTATCCTTCATTTTAATGGGGTTTCCATTATTCACTAATAACTTTTTAATACAAGTATTCTTATTCATCCTGTTACTTGAGTGCTTTGCTATGTTGTAGATTACATTAAGCTTGTCAGTTTGATTTGGCTTAGGGGATTGAAAGGTGCTTGGTTGTACCATATGGGTTGTTTGGTTGTTTAGGAATGCTGGTTGGGGTATTTGGAGTTTTTTGGGTTGGGGAGTTCTCAAGAGTTGGATGACTCTTGAGATGATGTTTGCTAGTTGTGGGTTTGTTGTTGATAATGTTGGGTCTGATTAGTAGGATGAGATGGAGGGGGTTTTAGTCATTGTTCAATTAATATTTTTGAGGTAGTAGTATGGCACCGTGTGATGATGCTCATGTATTAGATGATTTATCACCGATGCTTATATCTTTCTTCTTTCTTTTACCTTCAATGAGTTCTATTTATTATCAAAAACAAATATCACATGAACAACTCTGGCCAATTGACTAACATAATAGAAGACAATTGGCTGAGCTCTTACTGATCAGTACTGGAGAATGGAAAAAATTTTAAAACTACTATAGATTGTGCAAAAATGACAGATTCTTACCATTCACAAATTGAGTAGACAATTGGTCGCCAACCTTTTGTAATGCATAACTCTTTCGAGCAAAACTGCAAATGAAAAAGTGGTTCCATTATCAAATTACACATAATACCTGCATTAATTATGGATGATGATGACATAAGACCTGAACTATTTTCCAAGTTCTTAACAAAAGAATTTAATATCTTTGTTAAGGGTAAGTCCACTACACTATTCCAGTTTCAAATTTATACCAAAAATATACAAACCAAATCAATTGAATTCTAACTAACTAACCATGATTAAGCAAAATAATTCTCACCGCTCATTCATAGCAGCACTCAACAGATAAATCCAACCACTACTGAGTCTTAATTAATAAGAGGCTAGTAATAAAACCATCCAACAAGTGGAGCAGAAAAGAAACAATACTCTTAACACTTGGAGACAATAAGAGCAACAGTAACAAAATGAATCAGCATGTATGCAAGTATGCAACGCAGTAAAGCACAATAGCACAAAAAGTTAAACAGACTGTTTGTAATAAAACAAAGGATTCATACTTCTTCAGTGCATTGTCCTTTTGTGTTTTACACTATATATCATGCCTGTGACTTGTTTTGCTAGCATTGCTAGATATTAATGTAGAAACCAGTGTTTTAAAAGGCATGGGAGGTGAAGGGATGAGAGATCCATCCTATGGACGTCCAAAGATTGCGGAATAAGGGGGCAAATTTCAAAAATTTATCTCTCCCTTCAACTGGGAATCGTATTCCCTATTTAGAAAATCATATTTTCAA